GGCGGGTCTTATTCTCCCGGGCCGCGCTGGAGGAGCCGCGAAATGCGATTGCACAGACAGGAAGGGCACTTACTGCGCAATCTGCCACAGGCATAACCGGGGAAAACACGGCTTATAAGGTCACTGTCACGGAAAAAGCACTTAGTCACCCCAAATACAAGACTCATCAGCGTGTTTTGTTCACTAGGCAGTTTAAGTAATCATGCTAGGAATTTTATAATCAGTGTTTTTTCAGCTGCCAGATCAATAAACCCAAGCATGTGAGCCAGATAAACTTTTTATTTTTTACAGCATTTCTCACCCAGGTCATAAAATGCTTCATAAATTAAATATGGGCTCACTGAATTTTAGTCCAACGTTTGAAGATACTCCACTGTAAAAGACATTAAATAAAAATAGCTGTCAGTTTTATTCCTTCTGACTTGCTGTCGTAAGCTTTTGTTGTTAATTAAGACTGCTTTAAATTAAACAGAGGATGGCGCAGGCCCCACAGGAAAACAAGCATATGAAGCAGTTTTCAACATCTTGGCCTCTCCTCACCTCAGATATAAATAACAGGAAAAGAGCTTCCAGACTGGGGAAGGGGGTGTCAGTCTAGAAATCTGCCTGCCAAGTTATCTGCCTGAAACTTTGTATGTCTGTGTTGAGTTGAAGCATCAGAAATCCTTAAAAACGGCATTGCCTTTAAAATACATTTACATTTTGCTTGCTATATTTTTTTTTTCAGATGGTGAGGGCAGTTAGGCCAGCTAATTATGCAGTCTGTTTATATATGAGTTTAGTTTCTATATGAACAATCAAACATCTTAGTCTCACTGACCAAAATAATCTAGAAAAATTATCTGCCTGAGATTAAAAAAAAAGGCACAATTTAATTAACTTACAAAGTCTTTCTAAAATCCGAGATATTAATTCTCTTAGTCCCAGTACTGTAAACATATAAGCAAACGTAGATCTTCGATTACAGTAGAAGTATGCATTGTGAGTGAAGTTATACAGACACTATGTTTGCAGCATCCCGATTCGTGTTTTTGGTCCAGTCCCTTAGACTTCCATATCATTCCGTTGTCTTCACTGGAACCAACTCCCAGTTAACACCGCTTTGTTTTGAAGACTCAAGTCCATCATTTTGAAGTCAATACATCCCAAAACAAGATAAAAATGTCACTTACTAGGATAAAATATCTATTTTTTTCCAGCTTCCATCCTGTTGGAAGTTAACTGAAAGTGCCAAGCTGCTGCTATTTGTATAGTCTTCTTTATTTTAAGACTGCAGTTGATAAAGAATGTGCAAGTAGTGCCTCAACTGCAAATATTGTGCAACACACTTTGATGCACTTATTCTGGTGAAAATCTTATTGGGAAGAGCACTCAAGGCATGCCAGAAGGACTTCACAAATCTGTAACACAGAATCTATAAAGTTCATCTAAATATTCCATGTTGTTGGCGGATTTCTTGGTCCTTTAGGTTTCGAAAATCGATTTGCAAAGCCTAGGAACAAAATTTTTTTAATGCAACAAGTTCAGTATGTAATTATAGATGTTGATCATGTCATTCCTTAAGATCATATGACATTTGAAAATACGTGTAGTTTCAGTTCTTTCCTGAACTTTAAGATATGCTTGACTTAAAGCAACATCCTGTAGTTGAAAGTCAGCTGCTACAAAAACTATATATAGTCTATAAATGTCTGTCAACAAATACTATCATTATAACGTGAATATCAAGAACATAACGAGATTTTATGTGCAATCTAATAAATCACTAATAGCTTTAATAGAATAATTTTAAGAAAGACATAGTGATTCTCCTCTCCTATATTATGTAATACTAGGCAGCAGCCTAATGGAAATGTTACAGCTTTATATTTATCTTCTGCGTTCTCTGTTACCACATAAAGACTAAGTCTTTCAGATACGGGAAAGCCAAATACGCATTTTTCTCACTCTTTACATACTCACATTTGTCAGAGTAGGTTTCACGTGTTTACCCTTCTCTGTTCCTTAAAACAGTTCATGAATAATGTTGTAAATGTCTAAAAATTGTAAGTGTTACTTATAATGTTGCAAGAAGAGGGCAATGCAGTTTTACACATATCCAAAGGCCTAATTCTTGTGCACATGTAGGGACCAGAAATTTAGATAGAACACCATATAATTGCCACAATACCAGATTAAAAGTGTTCAGAAATACAGACAGGCTTCAGGTAAATTAAATTATGTAGACACACAATTGTTTGGTCCCATTTTCGGGCGTCACTTCACTTGGAAGAGTTAGAATTCAGCCTGATGCCTGCATTTAGACTTTTAAATAAAAGATACTTCTTATATCAAAAAAGCAAAGAGAATAAGAACATACCAAAATTAAGAAAAGAGCTTGAATGGTTTGACGGGGTAGATTCTGATGGTTTTGTCAGTGAAGACGGACTACAGATACCTGGAAAGACAATATTAAACTCAAGGAGTTAGTGACTATCTTAATTCCCTGAAAAGCTAGATTCACATACACCTATGGGAAAACACATACTGCCATATGCACAGTAAGGCTGGACACAGATGCTGTTTCAGCACAAGACAAAGTTGAGTATTTTCCACGCTATCTGAGCTTGAATGCCACACATTTTAAATGCATGATTTGCTCATAGTAGGGAGTGAATGCACTACTGCAGTGCAATCTACCAGGAAGATGTATGCTCAGAAGTGCTTGAACAGTTTTTAAAAGTCTTATTTTCAAGATAAGCATTTTAGTTTTATATCAAAAGGTAACTTATGAGAAATTCCATATTTAATGCTCCAAATGAACTGAGGAGAATCCAGGATGGGACTCAAGTTGATCACATGCCCCATAGCCTCCCTTTCCCCCATGTTTAGAGCACTTGTCCCACAACACAGGTTTCAACGATCTGAAGAATTCTGTAATTTGGATACACTGGAGCTGCCTGCCAGGTGCCCAAAGGGAGTCAGAAGGGCACAGCATCCTCATGGTATTCCTAAAACAACTGCTGCTCTCAAGATGAGATGGCACTCAGCTAGCCAGCACAGCTCTATATACCCACTCCAAAGTAAGCAGATGTGGAGGGAATTTCACACTAGACAAGTTCAGTTGTTTGAAGAATTTCAGATATTTCTTTATATACTTGCTTAAAGCCGTCAAGAAGATGCACATTAGCTTGAGAGAGACTTACTCTTTCTCACATTTTTCAGTATTTTCAAGCTCTGTAAAAATGTAAAGAAAAAGAAGGCTTGTTGAAAAAAATTGTAGCAAGCATTACATCAGGAACTATGATAAAAGGAATTCACTGATCAATACACATGTGTTACAGCTCATAAAAAGTATTGTGTAGCGTGTTTGAGACAGCAATGCAGATTTCTGCCATTTGCTTCATCTCTTTTTTCTAGCCAACACTGAAGCATCCCAGTGATTACAGTTTGTATTATTCTTTCTGTTTTCCTCAACAACTGAACCATAATAACATTGCAAAGTAGCCTTGCTTATGAGGGTAATTAACTAGGGCAGCAACAAGAGGAAACTAGTGATGAGTAGAGTCTGTCCTACTTGGGAATTAAGGCTCCAATTGAGCAACTTTTCCAAGAGGAATTGGCATTTCAAGTGGGGAACAGAGTGCTTAGGCATAACCATTCACATAGGTATGACCGTGTTACTCTGTTCCTACCGCAGATTGAGGTTTTCTTTCCAGTTTTACAACAAAATATTTTTACTAGACTTCTTCCTTGCCCTAAATATGAAAGTAGTCTCAAAAACAGGCCACTGCTTTCCTATCATTTTCACACAGTTAGCAATAAGAAAGTAACAGTAGCTGTAGCTAGAAAGATTGTTCCTTCTCACCCTCTCCTTTTTCAATAGCTTTTGTTTTGTTTTGTACCTTGCTTCTCCTGAAGCATGTCATAGGCTCTTTTGACGATATTTCAGAAGCTTTGTTCCCTAAGTCCCAAGGGCTACTTGTGGAATTCCTTGCAGCAGGCTGCAGACCTGAGAACATACATCAAAACGTTTTTAGTGGCCATTCATGAATCTTCCTGCTTTGTTTCTAAGTGCTTTGCTACTGCTTTTCATTTCCTCTAATGCCTCAGTTCCAGAAGGGAGAAGTGATGTTAATCTTTCCAGCAAGTCCCCTGGTTTCATTTATTTCCTTTACATCTGCCAAACTCTCCTGTGGTTAAGTCCTGAAGCACTACCATTGGTAATATTTTGAACAAGTGGGCCACTTAGCTATGTACAGGTTTAGGTTAAGTATAAAATCTCAGTTACAGGTAGAGAAAATAAATTGTCACTTACTTGTTGCATCAGCAAGAACAAACGACTCCGGGGTTCTTTCAGGAAGTGGAGGAGGGGAGTTAGAGTGATCCCTGTTTCTCTCTAAGATGGCAAAGATAAAAGATTTGGTTATCTGGCTTTTCAAAAAATACACTGGCAGTCAATGAGAAGACCACAGCAATATAACCTGCATTTATCTCAATCCTTTCAAAGGAAAGGCACAACATACAGTCAGAGATGAGACTGCTTTTAGCCTGAGGAGACTGAAAAGAACATCCCAATAAGAGGATGCAAGGTGATGCAGTGGCTGATTAGGAAATATAAAACTACCAGTTCATTTGGTTGCTGAACTATTTAGTCAGTGAACGCAACGTATCTCTTGCACTGAGTACTAATC